CTCGAGTTACATCGGCTTTTATGTTTTATGTAGTGGACTAAAGACGGAATCATAAAATGGGTAATAAGACTATGAATGAAAGCAAATTATTTTAAGTTCATGAAAAACAATAAAAATTATGGCATGCAAAGAAACATTTTACATTTCAGCTGATTCTCATTGCCTTAGAGAAATACGCATCAAAATATCGGGAACGAATACGATGCACCGATTTTATGGCAGAATTGCACAATCAAAAGACCTAGTTACGATCCTGACAAAAATGCTATGGCGAGTTACTCAAATAAGAAAATAGGTATTGACCTATTCGGTTGGATATATCAAGTTTAAGCCTGTGGTTCAGAAAATAGGATTAAGATTGGGAATTCGATTATAAAAAAACTCTTATTAATAACTTGGATAGCTATGCGAGAGAACCAAGCTTCATTAACTAGTCAGTACAAGTCAGCCTAAGGCACGCAGCAACATGAGGAACTTATCTACCCTAAAAATAAGTCAAAACAATATGTATTTGACTAGAATAAACTAATTTGCAGCTATGTGATGGAGGGAACAAGATATAATCTAGATAAATGAGATTTTAAGCCGACAGCAGGAGCTGTGACTCGAAACCAATAATTTTGATTAGCAAGGTAAAAAGGCTCGGGAAAATGTGCATTTATGAGATTTATGAATAGTTTTTAAACGAGAGATTGAGAAGAGGAAAATGTCTCAATATGTACTTGTCTTTATTCGTGAATCAGGGGAAGCTTGAGCCGACGTATATATATATGAGCATAGATAAAACAGGCATGCTTGACGTGGTTTAAAAAAGACTGATCCTCCACAGTGATGATAAAGGGGGTATAGAAATATGGTGTAGGACAATACAGGAAAGGTGAATCAGTGCCTGCCAAGTGCTGTAGGTTGTTTTTTAGAGATCAGTGTATTGCAACTTCTGTGGATTACAACCAATTGGTAGATAGGATAATAACAAAAAGCTGAATAGTGGAAGAAATACTACAATTATCGTCAGGAAAAAGCTAACGTTATTTAGTATAGAGAAAATGCTTGTAAATTATGGCTTTCTCATATAAAAATAATGGTTTGGTGTGAAGCACTATTAATATAAATGGTTCATGAAACCGACAAGTTACCTAACGTTCGATTTATCCACGCCCATACCAAAACTTATTGTCGCGGCAACTACAGGGCATTTTCCTGAAGACCACGCCATTTGTACCTCTTCCCGATAGACTTTAGAAAGACCTGCGTGATACGCACGTGTAGGTAGCCCGCGAGAAGAAAGCTTATGAGCAAGACATTCGCACTCATCACGAGTACGACAGTAAATAATTCCGCAGCCAAGAGAATCCTTGATGAGGGTAAAATAAAAAGTAGGTTGGACTTAAAAAATAATAAATGTATGAAAGTGTTCTCAAAAACCATTGCAATATCTACCCAGCTCTCTTTTGGCTTGGTATCCCACTTAAGGCAAAATGAGGCATGGTGAAACAATTCTCCAAGTGGATCATCGTAGATATCTGTGAAGACGACAGAATAGTGCAGATTATGACGAAAAACTCCTATTTTAAATTCTTTCAATGGATAAAGAATCGTATCACAGTTGGACAATGTGCCAAGTTTCAGTTTTTGAATAATATCAGCCTTCACATGTGGTTTAGCTGTTGCAGTTAGTGCGACACAAGGGACATCAGGGAACAGAGTCAAGCGTACAGTACCGAGTCTAAGGTAGTCAGGCCTAAAATCATGCCCCCACTCGGAAACGCAGTGGGCTTCATCAACAACAAAATAGCTGACGCACTTCGCCTTAGTCAGTTTTGTGGCAATGTTTTTGAACAAATCCGTTTGACATTGCTCAGGTGTAACGTAAACCAGCTTCACAGAATTTAGGGCAGTACATTTAGGAAGGCTAAGAAGATGCTCAATAGTACGTTTACGTTCTGTGATTGTTGTTTTTGAGTTGATTGATACAGCATGCACTTTTAATTCATGTAGATGGCTGAGTTGATCAGTTATTAATGCAATTAAGGGTGAAACAACAAATGCGACACCTTCGTGGGCAACAGCTGGTAATTGGAAGCAGAGTGACTTCCCCGAACCAGTTGGCATAGATATAAATACATCATTTTTTCCTTAAAAATCGGGGTAAATATTTAATGTCATATACTTTGTATTATGCATTTTATGCATTTTTCTTGTGTGTGACTCTTAAAAGATTTTAATTTGAAGATCCGAAGAGAATCAGAAAGAGAAG